CAGGTGTGGCCAGCCGCGGGGTAGAAAACGAAAAAAAAAAAAAAAAAAAAAGAAAAAGGAAGGAGAGGTAGGGGGGAGAGAAGGGACAAACAGCGTGTTCGGGGTTTATGCGGAATTTCGTCGTGAGTTTAGATGGACACGCGTGGCAAGGGGATTCGCCACGGGAATGCGAATGAAATGTAAACAGGAGGACGGAAAAGGTGGATTCCGTTCTTTGTCTTATGTTAGACGTCTAAGTGATTCAATTTTAGCGACCGAGCGACGTGTCTCTGTTACTTCAGACAGGTCTCCTCTGGTTTAGGGGAAATGTCCTCTCCAAGGGTCTGTAGGGTGTAGTCAAAGAGGGTAGGATGACGTAATGCTTGTGCGCTAAATTCTATGTGCTAATGATCAAAAGTGGGCGTATGCTGTGGTAATTGGCTTTTCTCTAGGTTTATTCTAGGATATTGTATTTTCTATTACTGCGTGGAAGTATCAAAGCATCAATCGTGTTTCAGACATGTTCAATTTATCTTATTTCAGGTACTGTAGAATTTAATTTGGAATTATTCATTTAAAAATTATTATATGATATTGTATATAGTAAGTTGCGAGTTATTACAAAAAAGAGAAATTAATTTTACAGATAGTTCTTACCCAATTATGCCATTTAAATAGAATTTTATTAACAAACGACAGGTATAAAAAGATAGTGCATAAGCTATTGCAATAATTTTGATAACATTCCTGGATGTAGTTTAATTATTTCGATCAAAAACGCGAGGACATAGCAATCATCTTTCGATTTTATTTACTTCTATCGCTTTCTCGATAAATACGTGGTAAATACGATTCCAAATACGATCCAAATTTTAAACGCAGATTTCTTATAATATAAATTAGCTCTACGCAAATGTAAACAAATTCTCCAATATCTACGTTTAGGGAAAAGCTATATTAATTTACTGTATAATATACATATAAAGAATGTTATACAGTCGAAGCAAAATCGAGTTTCATTTAATTTCAGCATCACTTCCATCGTATAATTATGACAAGTTTGAGTGTTCCGGGATGCAAATAGTAAAAAGGGAAGTTAAATGGGGTACTCGGTGAATAAATCTCGTCTCATAATTTAAAGTACATTACGTTGCAACTAATAAGGGTTTTGGTTGTTCGAGTTTGTTTCTGTCATGAGACCAATGGGGATATACTCCAGGTTAAGATAAGCAAAAACATCCTGTATAACGTACACGGGGTGCTTTCATCCCCTCGACAACTAAGAGCGCGGAACAGAAACTTCTCTCTATGTATGGCGACTATTGTACGACAAGCATTGTTTGTTATTGTAGAACACAGATGACTTTCGAAACTTTTGCACGGTACATTTAGGAACATTCGTCTACATGTAACGCGACATGTTTCCAGTCTTTGTAATTTATACCCGAACCGTTCCTGGTATTCCTCACGCTAATGTAGGTTTAATCAACATTTAATCCACTGTCAGTTGATTAATGTTACATTTTTAAATAAAAACTTTTCTAATATTTTGAAGGTAAATAATTATAAATATACCTCTGGGCTCTGCAACGTTAATTATACCGACATCAAAAGGACCAACGTTGTCGGGAAAGAATTAAATACACGGTGAAATATGCAGAACTTAACAAATATCTTAGTAATAATTCTGAATCCCAGATGCATGAAAATAGGACGTATAAAAATCTGGTAGACGAGTTGCACAAATTCGGCAGAGTTTGCAAGAGTGTAGCTTTTACAATAATCCGTTCGTTATCCTTATCGTTGTGGCATCACGAGCGATTAAAATCTCGAAAACGTTGGTAGCCCCGGATGTCAGCGTTGTACATTCAGAGTCTCTCATTCAAAGTCAGCATAAAACTCGTATTACCTCTCTCTGGTACAGGTTCACGCAGTCCACCACCGAGCTGTACCTCGCTTATCGCCGAATATATGCCTGGAATCTGGGCGCTGCATCGTAAATTCAGCTGACCGTTTGGGAAATGGAACGGCTGAAGATTTACCCTGATCTCGATCCACTGAAGATTCTCTGGTTGATCAGCGTGGACCAGCGGGTCATTGCGATCCCACCTCTGTTGTGGTTGACGCTTCATGTAGGACTCCACCTGGAGACACATTTAAACGTAAATTGGTAGCGAAATTTCAACGATAAGGTGAAGCGACACGGAGCCTAATAGCGCGCCAACTAGTCCGGTGATGCTCACACGAGGATACAGAAGAAAGGAACAAGGAATAAACGGAAAAGAAAGAGACAGGGCGGGTCAGGAGCGAAGGAAATGTAAATCTGCTTTTAACGAAATCCATTCATCTGGAATCGGGTAGCGAACTCTTCGTTTCGCCCGTTCAACCCTTCGGCCATACCCCAACCCATTGGTACCGCATGCTGGTACCGGCCGTTAAGCACAAAGACGACTCCTTCCAGTTCGATGAAAAGTCGAAAGACTTGGCCGTTTCCGGCGCTGTGTTCCTCCGATTAACGTTTTTTCATTCCTTTCCTCGTGAGAAAACGTCCCTCCTAGCTAACCCGTAGTATTCACAGTGATGCTCGAGTTCCGAGTTTCTTAATGGATCATTATCGTTCTAAGAACTGGCGATGGCGTCGAAAGTAAGTTATTCGGTTGAGCGGCCCACGGCGAGCTGAATCGCAAGTGGATCGGCTAAGATTTACTTAAAACTTTCCAGCAAGGAAAAATACCGACGACTTTCCTGATACCCTGCTGTGGATGCGCGCGCGCTATCACGCTAGCAGGCCCTCGCACTCTCAGCGTTTTTAATGGTACTTAGGGCTCGGCGAATTGTTTAGCCTGCTCGAGTTTGAGAATTGCTGGACTACAATCGGCGATATTTTTACCAAAGCTTCTTAAAGGATGCTTCGTATCTGTGCTTTTTTCCCCTGGATCGTTTCGGAGACTGAGCAGATCTTAGGCACAAGGAGATAGACGATCTTTATGACCGTAATTAGCGTTTGCGCAAGCTAACTCGTGAATGTGACTTTGTACATTAGTTTTTGCACCATCCCCCCGAGCAATCAGGTTTACGGGAGTTTGGCAACAATGGGTGAAATGGTTGATAAGAGCAGATGGGCCTACGAATGAACTCGTTAATAAAATTACAGCGTTCCTGTCCTTTGAGCACGAGAATATTCGGTATTAGGAATATGGCGGCAATCCGGCAAGATCGATTATTAGGTTGGAATTTGAGATAAGCAGGGACTTCACGGGGCTGATGGAAATCGGGGGATATGCACGACAGATTATGCTGTATGTTAATGATCCGCTTCTTCGACATGCTGAAACGAACTATTTTTATAATATCTCTAACTATCTTGATGATTATAATCAGATGATATTCTTCTTTGTATTTAATTCGCCATCATTGATATAATCGTTTCTTTCCTTTTTTGGGGGGGCAGGGGGGATGTATTAAATATTAAATTTATATTTATTCAGTTTAATTAAGTAATAAGTAAACAGCAATTGCTGTTGGAAGCATTTTGGAGGTATATTAAATTACTTTACTTTTCGTTATCATTCGTAATTGCCTTTCATCTGATTGCATATGTAATTGCTTTCATCTGACTGAAAATATGTGTCCTGTGCTTGTTATATCTAATACTGCGTTATTTCTGTCAATGCGTATTATACTGTGTAACAAGATAAAAATTTATCATTAATATTATTGTGTTCCTTTGCCGTGCTAATGTGTAATCCTCATTTTCCATTACAGATGAGTATACATGCCAAAATTTTATCTCGTAATTGGCAAATACAGAACAAAATACGAATGTATATTCATACGAATTAGTATATATTCCTTATTTTTTAATTTCTTACAATTTCTTTTCTTAAGCTCTTTTTAAGTGTTTAATACAAATATATTTACTGTACTTCCTAATTTATTTCAAAAGATTGTTTTTCATATTAAATTAAAAATGTTACACAAATTTCACAAGTCACGAATAGAAAGCAATTTTTTAACTAAAATATACAAAAACTCTGATCAATAGCAGATTCATAAAAATATTGTATACTTTTTAAATATTCGTAATAAATAAATTCAATTTAATTCTTTTATTAAATTACAATGCAGAATAATAAGGTAATTCCATACTCCAGCGTATATATTTGCCATCACACCATTGTTCACTGTATTTCAGAAAATGTTACAATTTTACAATTTTCGGAGTCCTTAAATATCCTACCATTTTTCCCATAATTTCACCGCAATTTTGTTTTAAATAATCTGTTTAATTCATCCTCGAATCTCTTTTGAAGCTTCATTTTAATTTGAAACCAAAAATAAAACATAAAAGATATTCCAAATAACAAAGTAATATTTTATACCGTGATCAGATTAATATTCATAAAACATACATAAAATATAAAAATATTAATGAAAAACAGATTCGTAAAAATTCTATTGCTTTCACGATAACATGTACATAAATTGTCTTTATAATCAACAAAATTAATATTAATAAATATTCATAAAATACATAATACGAAATATAAAAACGTTGATTAATAATCCATTCATAAAAATTCTTTTTCATCGCGTTTACTATAACGCATAAATAAAATGCGCTTAAAATTAACAAAATGAATATTAAATATTCGTAAACTGTTTAGTGCAAAATATAAAAATTCTGATCAACGACAGATTTAAGATAACAAAATGTATGTCCATAAATATTCAATACATAATATTGAACATAAAATCCTCTTTTAACAATACCATAGGAATACTTCTGTTTCGTTTTCACGATACCATAAAAGTGATAATAAACTGTCCTCGGAATGATCGATGCTGATATTAATACAATTTTTACGTCATTTACTGCAGTTTATAACATAATTTCACATGTTAATATATATGTTATTCACCGAGACTCTCGCACGCAGTCGCTGTTACGATACCGCATTATAAAATCGATGCTGGACGCAAATTAAGCAAATTGAATTCAGTGTAGCGAACAACCCGATGAATCTTTTAACAAACAGCGCTTAAATTCCGACACGAGGCATGAATCAATGTTTCGCTATATAACGTCAAACGAGTAATGGACGACGCCAACGAGGATGGCGCGTATAAGAACAAATGCCCGGACATTTCTGTCGTGTTCGCGGCCGATGAGTAACGCGTTTTTAAATGTAACAAACGCTCCCGTCCCGCGCGATTTATTATTATTTCGATGAACGTTCTTCATAAATTTTGGTCGAGCGAGGAAATGAAAAAGCGAATTACACGAAAACGAGGAAGGAAGCAGGAGAGAGAATCCAAACAGCGTCTCTCGTACATCTCGATTCCTTTTTTCCTCTTCCCTTCTATTTCACTTCTTCCTTCCTTTTTCCCTTTCCTTTTTTAGGGTTTGTTTCCCGTTTCGTTTCGTTTCGGGAGAGTCGGAGGAAACCGAATTCAGAAACTGCAATGGAATTCATTTGGGGGAAAAAAAGGAATATGAAAGTCGAATAAATGAAAGTTAAAAATGGAGGGAAGTCAGAGGAAACATTGTGCTCTGTTCATGCAACGATCTCTCCCTTTTTCTATTTTCTTTCCCATTTTTCTTTCTTCTTTTCGCCTCGATGAGGAAGGGAGTCACAGGTTTTCGCCGAATATATCCGTTCATTTCTATCGATGTACGCATTAAAATTCATTATTTCATATCGAATGGGAAGGAAAATATGTTCGTACGGTACATTTTATTTTGCTTCCCTTTTTATATTATTTTATTTTATCAATTCGTTGATTTCGATTGGTCCTACAAGCCAACTGCGGTTGCTGCGTTTAAACGCGATTCAGGAAACTAAAAATTACATAGCAGATAAATAACGAGTTGGCGGTGCAAATTAACGGAAATTTGGTATTTTTCGTGGTGACTGAAAAGCGAAAAGAATCCACTTTATAACATTTAAAAAATACTAAAGGAATATAAATATAATTGTATACAAGCGTATAGTCAGTATAGTATACTGACTATAGTAAATAGAACAATTTATAATACCACCAAAAATCTTTGAAGTTGTTTTTTGCCTATACAAAGGGACTTTTTTGTAATCCTATCAATTTTTCGAAATTGAAACAGTGGAATTTCGTTCTTTTATTACTTTTTTTGTGGGTACTTCTCCAGGTATGAAATATAATATAAATAAAAGTAAAATATTTTATAATTTAATAGAGACACAGCAATAAATTATACGAAGTTCTCTTCTATATTTAATATGACTTTATTAGTCGACATTAAGTATAATAATCAGAACAAATATATAAATACATATTTATTTTAAATAAGCAATAAAATACATATACATTATTGCTTACTGACAAAAGTTAAAAGATAAAATAATAATTTGCAAACTTTGTTATGTTTCTTGTTCTAAAATACACGGATCAAAATTAAAACATGGGTTTCTTACAAAATATTAAACTAAAAGATTGTTATTTATTCATACATAAAATGTTGCATCCTCATTCTGCTTTTAATTTCAAAAATTTCCATAATTGTCATTATTCTGGTAGTTCTTCCTCTTTCTATAATCCTGATACAACAACCTCACCGAAAACACAATTTCCTCGTTAGAACTCGTAAAGTATGCAACGCCGTAAATGGACTTCTGTCGCAGACATGTTTTCTGTTTTCCCCACTGATAACAGAGACTAATTACGAAATTTTAAAACCTGCCATTTTATTATCTCCTTTTACTTAAAAGCTCGTCAAAACCTCGCACATATCGTACACGAAGACAAAAGGGCATTATTGTGTCGCTCAGCAAACTGTGTCTTAGCTATATAGACAAGTGCATGCATGCACAATGTGTGTTCAAAATCAACTTTCTTGAAAACTAACCTGTCGATAAAAAGCATTTTCTGAAATTTCAATATCCTCCATTATTCTGTGAAAATTATTCAATACATGTAATCAACTTTTACTACATATCTGTAAAGTGCACATACAAACAAGAAATTTTCAAAATTGACTTTCTTTAAGACCAAATATCGAACAAAGAAATTTTAATATCCTACAGAAAGTATTGTACATGTATGGCTTACTTTTATAATGAAAACTATGCATTGGATAAAAAAAATACTTTATAATATTGTATTAAAA